AACACTTTTTTCGATTTTGCCGACAGAAGCTGGTGGGTATGTTTGGGATATTTGAAAAAGCATGATCTATATTGGGTTTAGTGTGGTACAAAACTATTATCAAATCAAATTAATTATTATCCGATTAATCGGGCGGAATGGCTCATATAGCTCTAACCGACAACAATCCAGAATGACAAATTAATTCCTTGATAACGGATTCAGTAATGACATCAGGTTTGTATAAGCAAGATTTAAAAGCAATTCTTTATCATTATAACAGACAAATTACTTCATCAAAGCATTTATCAAAACTGGTTAAAGATATTTTTGATATTTCCGAAATTTCGCCAAGGAGTGCAAGCATTCGTCGGAGTAGTCAAAGCTCCAATGGAAAATTTTTTTATATATTCTTTTCATATAAAATCCTTAGATAATTCTCCCAAGATAAAAAAAGAAAGTTAAATTTTAAACCAAAATTTTTTTTCTTACTATGAAACTTGTATACGGAGAGAAGAGATAAATAGTTTTGATATACTGCAAGCAGACAATTTTCATTGATGGCAAAATATTTTGAAGTCGTCGAGGAAGTTGCCATCGTCGGCAATGCTAACATTCGAAGATATTACCATTAGAGTTGTCGATGTTAATATCTTCGATATTAACAACAACATCGTCGGGGATGTTAAGATAGTTGAAGATGTCATCATCGGGATAGTCCAAGATGTTAAATTTTTCTGAGGGATACTCATCATTCGAGTGATCTTGTTGACTTGCTGAACTTTGACCAGCAGTGTGATGATTTCGTGCGTCTGCCAAAATATGTTCCAACTGTGGATTTCCTTCTCTTGGGTCTAGAATGAACATTGCTTAGATATCACTTCATTGTTCATTCATTTCAGGTTGATAAATAAATGCTAAAAGCTCTGCTGAATTTGCAAAACTGGGAAGCTCTGCAGGACTTTTCAATGATTTCTTATTATTGAGGAAGTTTTTACTCTGAGGTTTGTGTTGATAGAATTTTTTGTGTCTGGAAAATGATGCTTTGCTGTGGTATTCTTTTCCACAATTGGGATGTTTGCATTGATAATGAAATGGTTTATTGTGCGTCTGGAAATGTTTTTTATATTCGCCTTTGCCCTGCATGGTCGCACTGCAGTCAAGATGTGGGCACGTATATATCTCTATATCTGAAAAACAACTGTTATGTCATTTGTGTTTGCTTAGTTTTTCTATCATAGCATTTGGTAATTAATTGACTCAATTTGAAAATTGATCATGAAGATATCAATTCCATAAGACAAACTTCACATTCCAATTAATTTAGAACACACGAAACTGTTCACTTTCTTGTTTATATTTGCCACAGAAGCTAAGTCTTAATGTTACATTTGATGGAATCTCGTACAACGGATGGTTGTGATTTTTTTGTGTGGGCGAGAACAGCTTCGATTAAGATTAATTACTCCTTGTATTTTCAACTTCACGCAATTGAGTGAAAGCAGTGAAGTGAAAGGGATTAAAAAGATATATCATCATATAATTCTTTACTACTTGTTCCCGGTAATTGTCCATTAACATTCCCCATCTACTATCATATGTAACCGTATCTGAGCCAATTAGTGCTAAATCCAAATTGTTGTGGATGTAAAGTTTTCTGAGAAATACTCATTGCCCCAGTCATCTTGTTGACCTAATGAAGCTTGACCGACAATGCGATGGTTTCGCATGTCTACTAAAGTATGTCCCAAATGCGGATTTCGTTCCACTCGGCCTAAAGTTATCTTATAAAATCAAACGAAGTGAGTGATCAGCGGCCGTTTGATTCCAAAGATCGAATTAGGTACTGTTTTTTCACGCGTTTATCATTGCATTAAAAAACCGATGTAAACATAGAAAAAAATACAATAGAATATTCGTTCCATTATTGTGATACATTATTGTCATCATTGTCAACACCATTTAAATTCATCGGACTGTAAGGAGCTAATTGTTTGAATTCTGCCATCCCGTTCATTGTCATATCAGTAACTGCCAAACACTAACTGTGGTTAACGACAAGCAGCTGTCTACTTTGGTCAGAAAAACATTGCAGTAAGTATTGAGTTTTGTATTGCACTTCATTGCCGTTAATGTTTTACAACACATTTTTATGTGAACATACACGTTAAAAACTTCTCTTGCTAAACATAAGCTTTGCAAAACTAACCTCTAACTCCGTGGCGTTGTTTCTTGTGGTTTTCTAGTCCATTCTTATATGAAAAGAAAGAGCCACAGATTTCGCATTGAAGTTTAGGTTGATGTTTCTCGTAATGCTGTCGAAGTAATTTTAGGGTACGCCATTTCCTTCCACATGTGGACCAAGTACACTTGTATAAACCTTGTTCCTTGTGCGTTTCAAGATGTTTTAAATATTCCTTATTCGTCAGCGTAGTCGCATTACAATAACGACATTCATGCTTCTGTTTGACTGAAAAACTGATATGATTTTTTGTGTTTACAAGTACCATTTTATATGCTAATAATGAAACTGCTGATCTAACTGCGGATCTTCCGTTGAGCATGGAATGAGCATTTCTTACCTGGACTATTTTGAACTGAAGCGATGCATAACAGAAGATTGAACCAAATAATATATGCCATCGATACGGTGAAGAACAACGCGTAGTATAGAATTTTTGAAATGGCAGAAATGCTGGAAAGGAAGCTTTTTATTTCAGATTGGTTGGAATTAAACGGCCAAAGGTTCAAACAGATTTTAATTTATGCGATTCACATTATTTTTTATATTTCTTTCTCTTGCATTCTCATTTTCTGATCTCTGAACTGGTAGTTGATGAATGCGCTTTGGGACTATTATGAAATAGTGAAAGCTTGAATGTTTCGATGACAGAGGAAATGTAAGGATTTGCATAAATTAAAACTGGTGAATTATTGTATTGTGTGAAGATTTGCATGAATTAAAATTGACAGATTATTTTTATTAACTGTCATTGGTTAAAGGAATATTTAATCCGTACAGTACTGAATAACTTTATTTGCATTTTGTAGCATTGTTATGAAAATTTTCAGTTTTTCGTTTCTATTTATTCGAAAATAATGGTGAAACAATTTTTCTAATGAAAAGTGCTTGATCAGTGTGAGCTAACAAAAGCGCTAATTCTTGTAATGGCAAAATCAATCCTTGAAGGATATAGATAAAAACCATATGATGACAATAAAATATTTTTTTCTTCTTTCATTCACTAAATTAGTGGTTTGGAAATTTATATGGTGGTGACGTTTTTTTTTTTTTCTGGTTGCTATAAGTAACGGACGAGGATGACTTTTAATAATGAACTGTTTATTTTATGACAATACAGTTAGTGATTTAATTTGAAGTTATTTATTTTATCTCCTGGAAAAAATTTTTGAGGGCAGAGGAATGGTAGCGAAATGATAAGACTTATTTAGTAAAGCAAAATCTTCTCTTTGTAGAATCTGGTAATAGGTATAATTCTATATATGTTTGATAAATGAGAATCAAAATTCATTCAAATTTAATTCTTTCAGATTTTATTACAACAGCAATTGAAAGATGCTTCTAACCGAAATAACTGTTTGCCGCAAATTAAGTTGGAAATGGAAAAAAAGAAGTGACTGAGTGAAATTTATAACAAAAAATTGAGAAAAAAATTGATGAAACGAAAATGAATCACAAATTATGCATCTCTATGCTGATTTTTAACGTTTCACATGATCGAATACCCAATTTAACATTTCATATAATTATGTTTAATCATATATATCACTTAATGTTAAACGCAAAGGTGTGCCATATAATTTGTATTTTACAAAATGAATGCAAATCTTGAACTGAAGCGATACATAGCAGAAGATTGAACCAAATGTATGCCATCGAAAGAGTGAACAGCGCGTAGTACAGAATTTTTAAAATGGCAAAAATGCTTGTATGGAAGCTTTTTATTTCAGATTGGTTGAATTAAACGACCAAAGGTTCAAATAGTTTTTAATTCGTGCTATTCAAATTATTTTTTTATATTTCACTCTTTTGAATTCTCATTTTCCGATCTCTGAACTAGCAGTCGATCAATACGCCTTCGGACTACTAGAAATAGTGAGAGATTGGAAGTTTCAATGACATAGATAATATAATATTTGCATAAATTGAAACTAGCGGATTGTTTGTATTCCTGGTTATAAGAATATTTAATCCGTACGGTATTGAATAACTCTGTCTGCATTTTGTGGCATTGTTATGGAAATATTTGGTTTTCGTTTTTGTGGGGTTAGTCAATTGTTGA